ATGTATATGTATATGTATATAAGTGTAAGTATATATGTATACATTATGTGCACATGTATATATGAAAACATACATACACTATGCATGTGTGTGTATATATATATGATGTATGTGCGGATGTGTGTGTATATGTTTTGTATACCAATGCCTATGCATGCATGTATCTGCAGACAGAGTTGCAGCATGATTGCAACGACAGGGTTCGTCATGTTGCGCCTAAGGCTACGACATCAACACACTCACCTGGACGGAGCATGTTCCGTTGGCTGGGCCCACGACTTCAGGATTTGGGGTCAGTTAAGGCATATTCGCCTGGAGCGTTGTAGCGTTGCGCCAAAGAAATATCCAGTCGGAACTGTAGGCTTAGGCGGTGCATGTGCAGCCATTTCTGTAAAGCCGGACTTGGTTGTTGTCTAACTATGTCCAAGTCAAGAGTCTTAGTCGAGCTTTTGAAAATTCAAATTGCGTTTCATCCATGCTGTGGTTCGTCAGCAATTTAGGTTCTTCCTCGCAGATGAACTTGATTTTTAGGATGGAGTTATGATATCCTTGGTTTATACCACCTCTTCGAGATGATTTTAGCGCTTCTTGACCCATGAGCTAGACAACTATGGATTGCTGGTATTATTGAAGCTCTCAAGTCTCCTGTGTTTTTCGACAGCCGTGCATGAAGGAAAGGAGCCTAATGCAAACGACCACGAAGCTGTAAGCCCCGTCACCATGATATATGGCACTTTTGAAGTGGGTGCTTGGTACTTCTTAAGTGGGTCTATTTCATGTGCGTTTTGTAGGAGGACCCTGCCAACCTTCATAAATCATAGGATTGGGGCAATGTGCAGGCTTGACAGACTCCAAACACACCATTTCTCCTGATCCTGTGCTGCATCTGCATCATGCGTCACTAACCTCAAGAACCAAAAACACCACAACCCACAGACTCAACAGAACCCGTTTGACACTGGGTGAATGGCAAGAGTCAAGGTCAGAACGATGCCACATTCGCATAATCTTCATGTGGTCCTGCAACATCCACGTCAACCATCATCATCACCCAGTGCAAACCTGATGGTCCACGGCCGCCGAAAGAAGCATCTGCGAGCAAGCCCGTGCCTTTTGACCTCAACCCAGCAACGCCCAGGGTACAGCACCCAGCGCTCGATTCATGCCAGGAGTGTGGGGGCCTTGCTTGGGGAGTCGGAAGTGGGAGTTCGTAAGACGATGGGATTTCTGTGGGAGGTGTTTTCAGTGCCGGACCGACCTCTCGTCTCAGAGTGGTGCCGGACACATATAATGAGTCTACCTTGAGGCCCGAGTATCGGCGAAGGTGGCTATGACTGTCCCCGGCCATCCGACTAGCGTTGGCATGTATTTTTTTCGGTTGTCAGTTCTAGTGGCCTGGAAATGGGGAGAACTTCAGATCTGGTAGCAGCACAGAGCGAAGTCAAAACGGCTATCAAATCGCAGTGATAAGCCGGCAGCACTGTTCGGATAGATGTTGGAGGGTGTTTCCATGGTTCTATGGGGTGCTCAGGGTGCTTTGGTGCCTTGGAGTTTTCGTTGTTCAAAAGGCTATTCAAAGCTGTCAGGCAACATGGGAGGCATTCAGGATTGAATTTTCAGTCTGGCAAAGCATCGTATGATGTTGGCAATAGGAGGAGAAGAGAGTGCCAGTTGTGCTCGAAGTTCCCCTTATAGACGTCCTGCTGACTCAATGAGGTCAGACATCCTCTACCAGGGAAAGCAGCACCTGGCGGTTTTCGCAGGTTGGAGAGTTAGCGGCGTATTCTCCGATGTTTGAGCTCATCGTCTTACTCTGACTTCTGCTACTTCTGCTTGGGTCCGATCCTTCTGTTCCAGCGTCCATCCTTTTCCTCTGCAAAGCTCTGCTGCATTTTTCAGGTGAGACGCTGCCTGGCTCGACGAAGAGGACGACGCTAAATGACCTCTGGGTCTTCGAGCCCTCCTCGGCCCAGCTCCCAGTGGGTTTTTTTGGGGGCCCTAAACCCTGAACCCTAAACCCGAAACCCGAAACCGGGGGTGAAGGTCCAAGCTTCGACCCGCATGGCATCTCTTGGCTTTGGCCGGATCTTAGCTCCTCTCTTTAGTCCGAAGGTCCTAGCGCCGCGGAAGGTGCAAGCTAGGGGCGTAGGGGACTCGGAGGGCTCTTCCCGGGAGCCTTGCGGGCCTCCAGCGAGCTGGACCTGCCCTGCCCTCTGCCTTGCCCCCCCCGCCCCCCAGACCCGCCGTCGTATCCTCTTCCTCCTCTTGTGGTCCTTGCTAAGAAGGCATGAGGTCTCTCGTGGTGAGCATGTCAGGAACCAGTCCTGGCATGGCAGCGGCGAGACTCAACCAATTTTTTCCCACCTTGCGCTGCATGCTGTTCGGGAAAGCTGATCACAGCTATGTCAGCTATATATGAGAGTTCAGGAACCATGATTTCTCGTAGTCCTACCTATTCAGAGACTGTGTCTTGGTCTTCTTCCCCGTACGTGCCATTGTCATCAGAAAGTTTTGCCTTCTTCTGGACGTGCTCGGTTTGGATGCGATGCGAGGCCGTGTGGACGGAGCTTTTTGCGCCAACCTGCGGAGAACCGCCAGTCTCCTGCCTTGTGTTCAGTGGATTTCTGCCACGAGTGGTTGTCATGACTTTGTTATGGTGCTGTCCGTTCTTGGGGCTGAGTCCGAGACTCTTACCTTGAGCTCACAGCTGGTAGAGCTCCTGACCCTGCCAGGCGGCGTCTAAAGTCTAAAATGTGACATTGCACGGGAGTCCGGGAAGCAGCTACCACCCGCGCAGAGAACTACAGCCGTACGTTGTTTGCCATGGACGTGAGGAGAAGGGGGAGTGCTTGGTGGCCGCAGTGCTTACGCTCTTTGAGCCTTCATAAGACATAAACCCTAAACCCTAAACCCCCCATAAGGCAAAACCAAAAGAAGCGCCCCCCTTTTGGCCCTCGCGGCCAGCTGCCAGGTCCCGGAAGAGGACGTCAGCGTGAGCACGCAAGGAATCCCAGCTCCGAGAGACAGGCAGAGAACGGTCAGAGATCCTTCCGGTTTCAAGGGCGGGCGGCGGTTCCGAAGTTCTTCAAGGGGCAACAAAAGCCGAAGCTTTGGAGTGGATGCATCATGAGAGCGACGGGCAGAAAGTTGCAATCGACGTGTGAGCACTGTACAGTTTCCAACGAGGCTTCGGTGGTCCTGGCTAAGCAAGAGCCCCGTTTGTCGCAGACAGCTGTTGCTCAGGGAAATCGGCTGCCTGGCTCTGGTGTTCTGCTTCGGGTGCCAGCCTCAATTCGTGAGAATAGAACTGAAAAGAGTAGAGCACCACGGGAAATAGGAGATGGGAAGATTGGGGAGGGATTGTGTCGGAGCTCCCGGATCAAGCCTTCTTGGGATGGGAGTTCCGAAGGTTTGCAATTGGGCTTAGGGTCACGCCTTGCACCTCTCAGGCCAGCGCTCTACCTGGGCATCAAGCAGCTGGTGAGGCCCGTACAGGCCCAGGAAATGCAAGGAGCCCGGAGAGTCACCGTGCTTCCAAGTGCTTCTGCTTTTGCCATCAGGTCGCAACCCTTTCTCACCTGAAGCTGACGAGAAGTCGGCTACCTTTTTTTCTTATGGCTTCCATGTGTTTGCTTCTTAGCCGCTGCTCCTTCAAGGAGGCGAGAGGGCTCCCATCAACCGGGCCTCTTCATTGCGGGACGGGAAAAGAGCTAGCAATGACCATTTCCATTTTCTAACCATGCACCCCCCCTAGCACCCAAATCATAACAACTTATACCTCAACCCTAACCTCACCAAAACAACCATAGGAATACCCCTAGGATGGAACCACCATAAGACCCACACCAAGACCCACATAGAAAAATCCCACCCTAAACCCCATACACCAATACCTCCAT